TACTGCATGGAGAATACATTGGAGACAACCAAAAATGATGATTATAAGTCATAACATCAACCCTGGTAATAGGCCCACCTGCAGCTTCTTACATTGACCTGTCAGTTTTAGAAAGATTTAAGAGAAATCAATGTCACATCCTTGCTCTTGAAAAACAGCCAGAAGGGGAGCACTGAAACTCACTCCCTGTTCCCTCCAAATTGCATGCCCTTCCAGGTATTGTTTTAAAAATGACCCAATACAAAAGTTTTTCAGTTAGGCAAACAAACAATCTCTTAGGTAAATTCAAGGCATTTCCTAAAATATAATTCAGATTGAAACTGAATTGTAGGAAATCAATTGTTTTTCTGTTGTAGCAAAACATGAACACATTTTTTTTAAAAAAATCATAGCAAACTGCACAGAAAAAAAACATTGAAGCACAACTCACTGTCCTAAGAATGCCTTTGCAGACTCCCTAGACACCTCCTTCTTCCATCGGGGCCACCTTTGTTTCACTGTTAAGGGAAATTTGATGGCACGTACAGCTGCTGCTTGGTTGGAAACTTCATCAAAGACCCAGAGCTCTCAAAGTATGTAATTCTATTTAAGCTGCATGCTTCTGTCTTCACATAGTATATAGTCCCACGAAGTTTCCAAAGCAAGGGTGTCTGTGCACAAATCACAACTCTTACCACTTTTTAATACAATCTTCTTTCTTGCAGTGGTAGAGCAGCTAGACAATACATTATAAAAAGGTAAAACATAATGCTTATTATTTTAACACCTTACTCCAAAATTCTTGATATAGTAATGTCGAACAATTTTGACCAATGATGTATTTTCATTTATGCTGTTTTATTAATATTTTGCTTATTTCTCTTTTTAGTACTTTATACATATGTATAAACTATCTATTCAGGATTAGAGTATGCAAAGTCCTCACTGCAGAATTTAGTTCCTATAGAAAATAAAAATAATTTAAATAAATGTTGTTAGAGCTATGGCTTTATAAATATAATATTCTAATAAATTACCTATCTGTTTTTGTCCCACGCTCCCATACTGTGTGAACAGGGTAGGGGCATGGGGCAGTGAATGGTTTCAAAATGTTAGAAATATCCTTTATTAGAATTTTATCCATATTCACTGTTGGAGTATCAGTATGGATTCTGTCAGACAAGCAGAACTACCACCAAACACTGTGGAACATTTTCGTGTAGAAATTACATGAATACAGGACTAGTGCAAATGATTTAGGGAAGCTGGAGTGTGAAGTTCTTGGAAGAAGGAAATTTGAAGGAATAAACGGTTAGTGACTAGTTCAGCGTGAAGCATAGGTGTAAGCCCAATAATCAAAACAGCATGGTACTGGCATAAAAAACAGACATATAGATCAATGTAACAGATTGGAGAGCCCAGAAGTAAACCCGCCCATGTAAAGTCAATTAAGCAATGATAGCCAAAAATATACAACAAATAGTGTTGGGAAAACTAGGCAGCCACATGCAAAAGAATGGAACTGGACTACTATCTTACACCATACACAAAAATCAACTCAAAATGGATTCAAACTTGATTATAAGACTGGAAATTATAAAGCTCCTAGAAGAAAACATAAAGAGTAAACTCCTAGACATTAGTTCAGATAATTTTTTGGATTGACCCCAAAAGCAAAAATAAACACAGAGACTTGTAAAATTTCTCCAAGGCCAAAAGACCAAGAAAGAGGCTGACAACTCTAGCATTACATCAAGAGCTTATTAAGAGAACTTACACAGAGTCACACATCTTGGGTGGAGACAAGATGACATGGATATTCTTCACCCCCCATGGCAGTCACTAAAGAATTATATAGAACAGGGAAGATGAATGGGGTACTGGGTTTTGGCCCATGGAAATGGCTTGTCCCAGAAACCAACAGGTTGTGGAGCATAAGAGGGAATTCAGTCAGACAGTCTCTGAGTGGTTGTATGGAAGGCGATTGTAAACACAGAACCAGCTCAAGATGGTCCTTTCTTGTTTAATGAGATATGGAGTTGCTTTTCAAAGCCAACAGAACAACACTGCAAGTGATGCAGCCAAAACATGCGCAGAGGAAAGAACTCCAGCTACACCCAGAACCAAAGTCCTGCCTACCCCACATACATGGAATCAAAGGACCAGTACATAACCAGAGGTTGAACACCAGAACACCTTCAGAAGCCAAGGGTCCATTGTCTAGGAATATCTGATGTTGATGCTCTTTTACCATAAATGGCCAACTTCCAAGGTATTCGAATTAAAATTTCCCCTACCAGCACATCTGCATACCTCTTCCCCATTAACGCTTTAAAGTCCCTTAATCCTTAATCAAGATGGATTTGAAGCACTGTTAAGTTTCCCATCATCTCAGTTAGTGCCTTTTTGATCAATAAATCTTTCCTTACTCCAAACTCTGACATTTGGAATTTTTGGCTTCAAAACATTGGCACATAAACTTGGATTTTGTAACACAATTTCTGTGCTGACCTAGAGGGCATTTTGAAACAGAAAAGAAAATTTAAATATTTACTATCATCTTGCAGTTTCTGAGAAATCAGGGCAAATACATCTGCCAGCCAACACCCAGGACATTTCCTTTAGAACTGCCTAGCTGGTGAACTTGACTCATGCTTCCTCAGTTTTCTGTAGTGAAGTTTTAAAAACCCCGTTCATTTTCGGTTTGTCTTTCATATTATAATCACTGCTGTCCCTGTGTGTAAGAGGTAGGGGTGTAAAGAAAAAAGAAATCCCCAGGATTTGGTGGGGAAGAAGTTTATCAGAAACCAACACAGCTCAACTGAAGAACAGAGTTAGAACTCTTACGACATTCTCCCTGAGGCATCTTCGTTTCCAGCTCTAAAAAAACATCTGCTATTGATTTTATAGTTAAGGTAAAATTGGAGCCAGGGTGGGAAAAGTTTTGCAACAGTCAGGATGTTTTTAAAACACTGTATCCAGGAGAGGATGCAGCAGAGCTTAATGTGGAATATCAGACTTAATTAAAAACTAAATTGTGGTACTGTCAGACAGGGAGCAGAATTCATTACGTGCCTGCTCCATTTGCTTACTACTGAATTAGACACAGGCATATGTAGAAACTAACCTACTCACTAGCACTTCTGAAAGTTTAAAAAAATATTTCTTGGCATTTTCCTTCTTTACACTATTTTTTCTATTCTTACAGCTAGTTCTCTCTCTTTCTCTCTCCCTTTCACTCTCTTGCTCTCTGTTTTTCTCTTTTAAGCTAGTGGTTCTACTGATATAAATAGACATTTATTTATTTACTTGCATTATTTCGAAGACGAGCTTGGAGTCTTGAGTGAAATGCAGTGTCATACAGATAACCAGTTGCAAGGTTACGACTGGAAATCAGGTCTGTCTTGCTTTAAAGCCAAAATGAGTGTGTGTGTGTGTGTGTGTGTGTGTGTGTGTTGCATTTTTACAGTGTTTTCATTTACAAAAAGTGATGAGGCTCTAACAATGTTAGGGAGAATTCATTTCAGGACACACATCACAGATGGAGTTATGAATGGCAGAACCATAGTTAAGTACGGGGCTTGAATATATTTAATTTGCAAAGATCTTGGAATTGAGCTTTCTTAAAAGCATTAAAAATGTTAACCAGATAACATTAGGGAACAATCTATAAAATACTTTTATTAATATAGATACACTGCTCTAATGTTATTCACTGGGAGGTCTGAGAATTCAAATTAGTTCCTTCTCCCATTATGATGACATCCCAAAGCACAAGAGGTTGTCAGCGCCTGCTATCTACAAATAGGTTTAGGTTGTATATCTTCTGCCTCTCTAGCTTATTGTTGTATATCATCGCTACCAGGTTCCTATTTCTTTGTAATCTGTACATACATATGAGCCTTGCTATATACAAATCAGACAACCAGGACTCTAAAAATATAAGTAACTAATGTTGCATTGGAGGTGAGTTAGAATAAAAAGAAACTTGGCATTTGCATCTGTAAAATCATGTGGAATCCACTCTTTGTAGATGTGCCAATTTTTGATTCCTATGCCCTAGTGCTATGCCATGCAAAGGACATCCTCTTATTTGCTTTCAAGTTGTTTCTGTTGTTATTTATCTATTGATGATCTCCAGGGCACTGGCTATTGCAGGGGCAGAGGGGAGGGAGGAGGCAGAGGACATCCATAATGTGTCAGCAACAACAACAAAAGCAGTTATATACTCAAATGGTAAGAAAATCCAGACCTGTTCATTGTAAGATTTCAGTGAAAGAAAAGGTCAAACAGGTGGTGGATTTTTATCTGCTGTAGTAAATAGTCATGTGTAAAATGAAAAAAGTTTTTCTTTATAATAAGGCAAGCCAGAAAAGCAAGCATTTGCTTAAATCTCAGATAGCTTAAAAATGCTTTATCAGAGACTCTTCAGGTGATAGGAATTGATGCCCAGAAGTTACAAAATAAATGGTTGAGTATTATTTTAAAATATATTTTGACTCATTTTCTCATTCATAAAATGATTATGCCTTAAAAGTTTTCATTGAAAAAGTAACACAACAGCTATATAAATATTCTTATAAACATCTATGATTTGTTCAATAATACTATATAATGAACTATAGGATTTAGTTTAATATGTTTTGAATGGGCATAATCCTACATTAGAGAAAAAGAGTTTAGATGGGGTAAAAACAATAAGTGTAATAAAACAAATAGTGGTCATAAAGGTTCAATATGGAGATTTAGGGAGGAGAAAAACTAAGAAACATAAGGCAGCCAAAAACAATACAGAGTCAGATTCAAAGTAGCAATAGATTAGATTCAAGAAATAGTTTTCCATATGCCCACCAAATATTTAAGACCCAGTAGAGTAGCCTATAGTAGACCTCTGACAGGTTTACAACATATTTTACTATGATTTGCATTTCTATTTCCCTCCCTCCCTTCCTTCCTTCTTTCCTTCCTTCCTTCCTCCTTTTCAAAATAATTTCTTCAGAAACTTAGGCCATGCTGGAGAGCAGTATGTCCCAGGTTCAGGAAACAAAAGACTTCTGCTTCAAGGCTGGAAGTTCTAGTTCATCCCATCTCTTCCCTTGCAGACAAGGTTACGCCCTGGACATGGCCTCAGAGACCCACATGCCAGGCCCAGTGTGCCTCATTGAGAACAACGAAGGGCAACTGGTAGTTAATCAGGAAGCTCTGAAGATCCTCTCTGCCATTACCCAGCCTCTTGTCGTGGTGGCCATTGTGGGTCTCTACCGCACAGGCAAATCCTACCTGATGAACAAGCTGGCTGGGGTGAACAAGGGTGAGTGACACCAGCGAAGCTCGGCTGAGTCCCTTCTGTTCACCCCACTCCCAGCCTGACTTTGGAGATAGATGTGAGGAGAGAAAGTTAGAGATGGGGAAGAATGTTAAAAGGTAATGTTTGGGCCACAGCTGACTAATTATCTTCTGGGATAAAAGGCATAGGTGTGTTCCTGACATATCACCTTTATTTTATTTAACTTAGTATCTTATTGGGAAAAGTAAAATATTTTCTAATCATAAAGAGTAAGGCATCAAAAAAATAATTTTTATATCTAATTATAAACTATTAAAATGTTACTAGCATAATGTTCTTGTAAAAATAGCTCATCAAGTTTCCAACCTGTGGTATAGTTTTATGTTGCCTTTTTTTCCCACTGTTGTTCAGATCAATATTCGTTATATTTTTTTCCATGTATACATTTTGCCTTCCTTAAACCTTAGCTCAATTGTCAAGAAAGCCTCCAACTTCGGGATTCCCTCATCTATTACAAACTCTCCATCCCCCCTGCAGGCTTCTCTGTTGGATCCACGGTACAGTCTCACACCAAGGGAATCTGGATGTGGTGTGTGCCTCATCCTGAGAAGGCTGACCACACCCTCGTCCTGCTCGACACCGAGGGACTCGGAGACGTAGAGAAGGTAAGGAACAAGGGTTCTTTTTTTGATTAACCGTCTCATTTCTTAACATCCTTTACACGGAGATTTTTGTGTACTTCCACTTGACCAAAGTGTATCTTTTTTCCCCTTTCTATATTTAATACTCAAAGTTTGGAAACCTAAAGTAGGAAAAATATATTTATGAGCCAAAGTCATGTTGTGGGGACTACACTAATGGAGCTAAGCTGTTAGCCAAAATGCAGAAAGATGGTATAAATAAAATCACTGCCACAAGCGTGATCCCGCAGAAAATAATGATTAACCCTGGGCTCTGGGTTGGAGAAATGTCAGTTCATTTGGGGCTCTGGCACTTGTAACTCTCTTGCAAGTTATTTAGGGAGACTTACAAATGTAAGTCTCCCTAAATCTTTGGTTTTCTCTTTGGTCCCATCCATCTTATCATTTGAACATGCACGAGCTTTTCCCACCTCTACGCTGGTAAGTGTTTAACAACTAGCTTTCTGGGAGTAGAGAAGGGGGAAGCCTTGACTTGTAGCACTTGCCAGTTTTCTAAATTCTCCCATCATAGCTGATTTCAGGCTCCCAAAGTGAAGTCATCCAACTCAGGATCTGAAATTGATGTATGCAGTCAGCTCCTGTGGGCTGGTGTAAGCTGGCTCTAGCATGCAACTGAATCTTTCTTTTGAACTTTCCCTGCTGTTTAGTGTTTGTTCTGCTTTTGATTTACCATAAATCCAATATGTTCAACCTCAGTTTGTGCCTTAGTTTCCTCATCTGTAACATGGAATAGTTATAAATCTATCTCACACCATTGTTTTGAGTCCTAGATAAGATAATGTAAGCTGTTCTGTTTACCCCAGCAACTTTGCAAATACCTAACTAGTTATTAGAGGGACTGGTGAATTAACAGTATATGGTTTCATAAAAATTATCAATGCTAATGACAGAACTATTCTGTTAAACTTTATATTTCTCACAATTATCTTTGTTTGTTTCATTTAAAATTGTATGTCAGGGACTTATTTTTAATGATTGCTCATCTGGAAAGGCCATGAGACATGACTTCAATTTGTTCTGACTTCTAGGGTGACAAGAACAATGATACTCAGATTTTTGCACTGGCAATACTACTGAGTAGTACCTTTGTTTACAATACCATGAACAAAATTGACCAGAGGGCTATTGACCTATTACAGTATCCTTTTATGATCCAGGATGGCACCAAATCCAGAGAGAACTCTTCGATCTACTAGCTGCATTTATGGGTCCTTGGAACCAAACACAAAAATAAAAAATGTGATAAACATTAAAAGTACAAGAAAACAAGCCCTTATATTTACTGATAAAATGAGGAATTGGTTACAACCAAAAGAGAACATAATAGTATAGAAATATGTGGTATTCAATACGGGCTTAACTACAGTTCTGTTTTCACCAGTATTCCTTAATTGTACCTCAGTTATGTAATAGAACTGTCAAATTTGCTGAGGACACTATCCTCACCTAATCTTGATGGCGTTGAAGATGCACCTGACTTTGTGAGCTTCTGTCCAGACCTAGTGTGGACCCTGAGAGATTTCTTCCTCTCCCTGGAAGCAGACGGGCAACATATCACAGCAGATGAGTACCTGGAGAATTCACTGAAGCTGAAGCAAGGTAACAGGACCTTCAGTTTTGGAAAGAGAGAGAAAAGTAATATGGGAATATCTCTGGGTGTAGGTGGTTACATTTATAGTTTCTTGTATTTGCTTACTGGGCTAAGTTGCCAAGTAAATAATTAAACTAATAGATTCAATATTAAATTGTATTACTCTCTGTTCTTGGAATGAATTACTTTTCTTTTTTCCTTTTCCTGATCGGTTACCTTTTAACTTTTTGCTTAGGTTTGTAGAGAGGTGTTGAAATAAATAACATCAGGTGGAAGGCAAATTTATTCATGGGAAATAGATTAAAATGAATGCTAGTCTTATACTAAATAAATCCTATTTTTCTTTCTCCAGACACTGATCAAAGTCATCAAAATTTCAATTTGCCCCGTCATTGTATACAGAAATTCTTTCCAATAAAGAAGTGCTTCATCTTTGACTTACCTGCACACCGGAAGAAGCTTGCCCAGCTTGAGACACTACATGATGGTGAACTAGATCCTGATTTTGTGCAACAAGTAGCAGATTTCTGTTGCTACATCTTTCACCATTCCAAGACTAAAACTCTTTCAGGAGGCATCGAGGCCGATGGACCTCGTGAGTACCTTTCTGAGGCTTTTCCTTCAATTCCACATAAAGGGGGCACTACTGAAAGTTTCTTCTTTCACTGTCAGTGTTGAAAATGCATAGTGAGTTACTACCAAGAAAGTTATATAAATCACATTTATTAAGTTCCAGAGGGTACCAGAAACATTTCTAGTGATTATTTTAGTAATGCCTCTAAAGTTGAATAAAATAGGAATATAATCCAAAGGAAAGGTCAAGTTAAAGGGTTCTATTCATAAGTGGTCTACTGTTGGACTTGACTAACCCACATGAGTTGGCAACATTTGTTCCACCAATATAGAGGATATTTACCGTGTGTCAAAGACTTTGATAAGCACAGAATGAGGAGAATGTATATTTTCTCTGTAGAAATGGAACTTACTTGACATAAACATTAAACAGAGTCCCAGGTTGTCTAGAACCCTAAAGGAAATCTAAGCAGACATCTTGGCCCAGTTGTTTTCTAAAGACTATGTCTCAGAACTCTATGTATTATTGCTATACTCTAGAGCAATAGTTTCCAGCTGGTGTGCCTCAAGAATCTTTAAAACATTCAGCACTTGACTACTTAGGGGCACTGATCTGTTTTCCCTTATATTGTCAGATAATAAAAAAAAAATGACAGTAGCCAATACAACAATAGTCATCTAGTTTGAATGAATCAAAATTATACCTATATATCTATTTTTTTATCAGACAAAGAATGTAATATATTTTTTGTGTGCTGCAGAATTTTAGTTATTAGTTTATGTGTGCCAGGAGTTGAAAAAGATTGAAAATTGCTTTTCTAGAGGGACAGTAAATGCAAACAAAAGTATGCAAAGGGCAAGGAAGACAACAAGGAAAGTTGCAATGAAGAGGAAAAGTGGCCTGATCTAATATGCTCACTTTGTGTTTTTTCAGCTAGCACTCATACCAGCTTTACAAATTGAAGTGGAAGAGAAGGGAATTCTGAAGGGAAATGAAACCTGAGGAAGAGGGAAAGAAAGAGTAAAGAGGGAAAAGGTCTATAGCAGTCTAACCAATGAATATGCATAACTTTAATTATTTCCTCATCATAGAAAAAAGATGGCATGAGAATAAACACATACATCCTAAGATTTCTCCTTTGAACACTTTCTTTTTCCCAAAAAAGAAAGATTTGGATTCTTGGTCACGCGATTTCTTGAAAAAAAAAAAACTTATTTAGGCCACTTGAACACCATGCAGAATAATGAAAAAGCTCAGACAATGCATTGTTAAATTAACATTCTCAGAACTATCCAGTTTAGAACATGCCCTTCTTCTCTGCAAATAATGCAACCATCTCTTTCCCCTGTGAAGGACTAGAAAGCCTGGTGCTGACCTATGTCAATGCCATCAGCAGTGGGGATCTGCCCTGCATGGAGAACGCAGTCCTGGCCTTGGCCCAGATAGAGAACTCCGCCGCGGTGAAAAAGGCCATCGCCCACTACGACCAGCAGATGGGCCAGAAGCTGCAGCTGCCCACGGAAACCCTCCAGGAGCTGCTGGACCTGCACAGGGACAGTGAGAAAGAGGCCATCGAAGTCTTCATGAAGAGTTCCTTCAAGGATGTGGACCAAAAGTTCCAGAAGGAATTAGGGGTAATTCATTTTTCTTTGCTCTAGTTCATGGGAATTACAAGGCAAAGTGTTGCTATGAGATGCAAAATGGAGACTTAATTAAGAAAAGCAATTCTTGCTAGACCGGAAAATAATGACTATCACTTCCGTAACCAGGATATCACTGTTATTCTGAAAACAAACAAATAAATAAATAAACATAATTATTCTAGGTCCTGTGGATTCTGATACTTTCATACATAATCAACTCAACTTACCATGTTACACACGTTGACTAATTTTTTAAATTAATTTCATTTCTTAAAAAATTGTACTCATAAAGTATAAGTGAACTTTCTTTTTATGTTAATCAAGTATACAGAATTGCCAAATGGGTCTACTAAAAGATAGTGTTTCCAGGTTTAATAGTATATACTCATATCATTTTAGCCAATTATTTGACTTCACCGCCTGATTGGGAATCCCAAGCCCAGTAAAATACTGAAATAAGGAATGATTGCAAATGAGTAGATTGCATTTAAAATTAGATCATGAGGCTAGAGATCTGTAATCTGAAGATCACATCTAAAGCAGAAAAGCAAGATAAAGGGATTTCAGGTGATTTGAAATACAAACCTGTCATTTTTTTCTACTCTGTGTTGTTAACCTTTCTACGTTTGGTAGGAAGGATGTAGTTTTGCTGTAGTTCTCTAGTTTCTAGAAAAAAATATGGAGAGTCTCTGAGGATCATTTCTAGAAATACTGAACTATTACTAACATCTTTTCATTGGCCTTTGATCCTTTGAAGACCCTGCTGAAAGCAAAACAGGATGACTTTTGTAAACAGAACTTGGAGGCATCATCAGACCGTTGCTCAGCTTTACTTCAGAATATTTTTGGCCCGCTAGAAGAAGACGTGAAGCGGGGGACTTATTCAAAGGCAGGGGGGCATTGTCTCTTCATTCAGAAGACCGAAGAGCTGAAGGCAAAGTACTATCAGGAACCCAGGAAAGGGATACAGGTAACCCTAGCTTTGCGCATTAATTGTGTTGGGGGCGGGGTGGAGAGGAGTGGAGCTGTTTCAAAATCCAGTGAAGACAAGAATAAAGTATTTATGCTCTAATGATAACTGGGGAATTAAACTGAACTATCACCATAATCACCAGACTTTCACTGCAACGGCCAACATTCATTGCAACTTAGGGGCTTTTTTGATTACGCAAGACAGAATTCCTATAATTAAAACTAACTTAAAAAAAAAAAAAACCCTGTAATTCCCTACCTTTCATGAAACATTTAAATTTAGTTGCAACTACAGCTGCATTCAGGAATTTAAACAATGTCATCAATATTTCCCCTTCCTTTTTTTCTTTCCAACTTCCATTCAGCTTTCTGTTCTGTTTTCCTCACTATCGGTTTTGTTCTTAGGCATGGCAGTAAAGATGACACCAACATCTCCAAGCTTAACTAGATCTTTTTTCCTCAGTCTCAGGGAGAGAGAGCATTTTCCCTAACATCCGCATCAATCTTTAAAACACCAAAATTGAGCATTTCCTCACCTGTGCCAAAATCCTTTGTATCAAGTGGCCTTGGGTGCTTGATTGGCCAGCCCAGAGTTTGTATGCACCCTTATGAATGAAGAGTCTTGATTGACAGTTCCACTAAACACAGACTGAGCACTTATGGAGAGGAAAAGATAATGGGAAGAAAAAGAAACAAAACGGTTTACAACTTACTTCTAACTTCATGATTTTGGGGTTCGTAGGCTGAAGAAGCTCTGCAAAAATATTTAGAGTCCAAGAAGTCTGTGAGTGATGCCATTCTACAGACAGACCAGGCTCTCACAGCGAAGGCAAAGGAGATGGAAGGTGAGAAGGAAACAGAAGAGATGTAAGATAGAACTTTCTACACATTTTAGATTAATTTGGCCTGGTTTACCTGGGATGGTTAAACTGGAACAAAAACAGCAAAGATGATTTTTAGCTCCTCAAGCTTTATTTGAGTAGGGTGTGTACAGTTAGTTGTGAAGGAAACATAGCCTTAGGGAATTTTCTCTAAAAGCAGCAGCAATAGCACAGAAGAGCGGGAGACAGAAGGAAGAGACTCTTTAATCCTGGAGAGGGTTGTCATTTTCTTTCTCAGAAGCACGTTTGAGAAAAGAGGCTGCGGAGGCTGAAGCTCAAAGGTTGGAGATGATTCGAAAGCAGGAGCAGCAAATGATGGAGCTGAGGGAGAGAGAGCATCAGGAGAAACTGAGACAAATGGAGAGGGAAAGAGCCCTCCATCTGGCCGAGCAACAGAGGACTTGGGAAAGAAAACTCCAGGTAATCATCCATTATTCCATCTCAGAATTGTAATCCTATCTCTCTTCTCTGTATTGTTAAGAACCTGAAGCAGTGACAAATAGGGAGAGGCTCTTCTGGCTCAAGGCAAGGACTCAAGTCAGACAGCCCTGCTGACACACCCAGCTCTTAATTACATGGTTTGGACAAGTTATCTGTGCCCTCTGTGCCTTAGTTTCCAATTGTGGAAAATGGGGGTAGTAATAATACCTTTTTTATAGTGTTCTTAATAATGAAATGATTCAATATTTACATTTAGATTGGTGCTGAGCACAGAATAAGAACTATACTTTGTTAAATAAAATCCACGGACATTTCTAACCCACAGTAATTAGTCTTTTTTGTTATGTTATTAATTGCTATAAGCATTCTTTTCTTTTGGTTGTAGATTAGATTGTTAAATTAATTTCATATTACTGTGTCTATGCCCTTGTCTTTGTCTTGATTGTCACTGGCTCTGAAGGCTTTTAATTTGCAGAGTTTATTTCATACAGTCCTTTACTATCATCACTCAATATAACAGTAGTTCCTATTCACCAAGTACTGTACAAAGTACTTTATGTACATTCTCTCATCTAATTGGTTCATTGTGAGGCAGAACCATTATGTCTCCATTTCTCTGATTAAAAACATTAGGTTCCAAAGAGTTAACTACCAATATCACATAGCCTAGCAAGTCCTCAAAACTGCCTTCTTAGTAAGCAAGAACTATAGTGCTTTTTTAAAAATTTTTATTTTTAATTTTATTTTTTTAAAGATTTTATTTATTTTTAGAGAGAGTTATTTATTTTTAGAGAGAGGGAAAGGGAAGGAGAAAGAGAGGGAGAGAAAGATCAATGTGTGGTTGCCTCTCATGTGCCCCCTACTTGGGACCTGGCCCACAACCCAGGCATGTGCCTCATACTAGGAATCGAACCGGTGACCCTTTGGTTTGCAGGCTGGCACTCAACCCACTGAGGCACACCAACCGGGGTGTGTAGTGCTCTTATTTCTGTAAACTTAGTTATAACATTCTTATGTGAGCAAAGTGCACCCCAACTTTCCCCCAGTATGACCAGCCTACCTGTAGGTCCTAGTTTTCCAGGTGATATTGCAAGGCATTTTTGTGATTACAGCCCTACACTGAAGGGCAGTACGGTCCACCTTAAACTCTCGATCTCCTCACAGATACCTCTACTTCCGCATAACTGTGGAGACCCTGAAACATATCCCCTGACATAAAGCTCAGACTCCTTACCTGACTGTGGATGGCACCTAGACACCCAGCTGTTGTATTAGCCTCTCCTCAAAGAATTAGATCTGACATTCCTCTGTGTATAAATGTGTATAAATTGAAGTCAAGGTGTGACTCAGACTGCCCAAAGAGGAAGGGGGAAGCCACCTTTGGATGCAATTCTTGAGACACCAATACTTCAAGAATTGAGAGATGGTCATGTTTTTGCAGCTAGAGAAAAAGATGTGGGAATTACTCATGTAGGAAACCAGGAAGGAGAGGTAAAAATGGGCATGAATGGAACGGAGAATTTAGGAACTGTCTTTTCTATGTTACTGATAACTTAAAACAAGTAAGGAAAATCAATGATTTGGGCTTACAGTCCCCCTCCCCCAATGATGTGGATATTACTTTTTGTTAAGCTCCATAGTTTTGTTTATTACTCTTTAGAAAGAGACTGCAGAGCAGCAAGAGAGAGTCCAAGCTGAAATTCGAAGACTTCAGAATGAGCTCCAGCATCAACAGTGCCGTATCGACTCACAAGATAACTGCATCTTACTCTAAAGCTAAACATCAGAACTTCTTTTCATGTTTATTTCCACTGAGGACAGAAGGAAACAAGAAACTATAAAACTTGGGACAGTTTCCATTTGAATCATTTTTATAATAATTATATTAACTTTGTATTGTTATAAAGTTATATAATTTACCATAATTGGTAAAGTGCACATTTCAATAGTTTCAATGATGGGTACTTCCTTTAAAAGGTTATGAATTGCATAATATAGGACAGCTGATCACTGCATTTATTTGGTAGAGTTATTGGACTGGTTCTCTCAGGGAAAGCTTTCCCTTATACCCCAATGCCACCCCTCTAATTTTCTCAGGGGGGATTGAAAGTGACCTAGGGGATGTGATTCAAAAAAGGCTAAGTCAAATGGGTCTTGACCAAAGTGTTGAGCTCAGGTAGGCATCACTCCTGAAACATCATCATATGCTGGATGCCATCTGAGAGAGTCATCAATGGTAGGACAATTAACCTAGCTTCTTAGTGGAGACAACGTACGGCTCTCAACTGGGTAGAAGCTGCTCAGTCTATGGGCAGTGATGTGACCACTGATTATGGACAGTAGTGAGTTTGCTTAGGGAGATTCCAAACTGTAAGCAGATAACATTGTAATGACATAGAGGTACTCCAGAAGATGGAAGGGACTATCAGTATGGAAATGGTGTCATAGGCTGAAGGGCCCTTCCTTGATGTTACCCTTACCAAGGGCATAACCTAATTAAATAGGACATTTTGTAGCATGAAACAGTTTATACTGTACTTGATAATTTTGTGTTGTTTCTTTATAATCCTTTGGGACCTGTAAATAAATGGTATAAGGAATGACAGATAATGTGCCAAAATATCTGATGGGTTCACTTTATTTTATGTCTGCTTATAATGCTAAAGTTAAATGATCTTAATTATTGGCACTCACATATGAAAGGCTACTGATTTTTCTTAAAAACTATGAATGGTATACATATATGTTTGTACATATTTTTAACAAGAAATAACCATAAAAATTTAAATAACTCTACTATTTTGTTTTTATTTTCCCCAATTGTTAAAAGTCAATGGGGGAGGTCTTCTGAATTTCCCTAAGGAGATTAAGAATTATTTTAAGACTAAAAATAAAATATATTTTATTACATCTTTTTATTTGTTTTTTTTAATCTCCAGTAAAATAAGCTTTAAAAATCATAGAAGCATTACACAAAGCTCTGTTTTTGTTTTCCTTAAATTGCTTACTTAATTATATCAGGAATTTCCCAGTTGAGTTATAAGAGCTTAAACTTACTTAGTTGCTCAAAATATGACGTTTTTACAGAAGAAAAACATAAATTTTAATTTCTGTATTTTTTTTTTTTCTGTTCTTTGGAGATCTTTGTTATGCTGAACATAGCAATAGGGCTTGGTGAGATTCAGCTGTATTTCCAGATCTGAACTGTACTTCTGAACTGTACTAAAGATCAGAGCATATTCATTTGAGCATTTGCTTAACAATACTCTGTAACTGCCTTTGCAACCTTTATAATTCATGATACAATAAAATACATCTTAATATCCAAGAAAATGTCATAATTGAAAAGATGAATATTATTTTCATTTCCACCTCTCTTATAGAAACAAATAAAACAAAATTTGAGACTAAGCAAAATTAAGTCACTTATCTAAGGTTCTAATCTTGGTACTATTAACTTAGACAATATTACAGATCATCTGATTTCTAGTCCAGTATTTCCATTATATCTTCAGGAAAAAAATAAAGGCTTTCTCCTTTCTTTTAGAACCTACAGACGTGCATGTTGCATTCATCAGTGGTTCACATTCTTTCCAACCAGGATTCCTGCCACCCACTCATCCCTAAATATTTTAATCTCATATGATTCTCTTTTAAAGTGGATTGAGTTGAAAATGACCAGAGAAAACACATTAAAATGAATATTGACAGTTTTTTGAAGCTATAAAAATCTAGACTACATTTTGGACCTGCCAGTTATGAATACTTTAATAATATATTTACTGTTCATTTACTGTTGTCTTCATTGTGAAACTTAGGAAATTAAGGCATTAGAAATAAATAAATAACTAAATAGCCTGAGGGCAATGCCATGGAAGGTATTTTGAAGCTAGACCCTCACATTCATAATTATTTTGTGACACTCTTTCTAATTATACTTAGGAAAACACAGAAATATTGAAAAATTAAAATAGTATAGTTTCAAAACAGTCTGAACAGATTCACACAAAAAGCAGACAAAGAAACCTTCAAAATGAAGTGAGGAAAGCATGATGTTGATTCTTGAATAAACTGATCATTGATGGAACAAAAAGTTCAAAAAATAGACTATGGGAATTGTATAGGCTTAAGATGAACTTCTTCCTAGGTAAAGACAAATAGATGGTCATTTAAACAAAGATAAAGTTGGACCCAAACCTCACACAACACAGTAAAAAATAAAACCTAAATGGATAAAAATATTAATACATAAGAGAGAAACATTGATTGGTTGCTTCCTACATGCACCCGGACCGGGATAAAATGTGCAACCTAGGTATGTACCCTGACAGGGAATCAAACCTGCAACCTTTTGGTTATAAGATGACACTCCAACCAACTGAGCCACACCAGACAGGGCTCTTACCATTTTGATTTACGAATGTGGATATATTACTATGGTGGTTCTGAAGATGCTCCAGTCATCTGCTACAGGAACCATAACTTGCTAATGGCTCTGGCTGGTGTGCTCTGAATTTTGCATGACTTTTCTACAGAGACCATTTTTCCCATGGGCTATTTTCATATCAAGTGCTGACTGGTCTTCACTGTAAGGTCCCTAAAGCTTCACACATATAGGTGGTCCCTTGAGGTTCCACCTTGCATTATTGCTCTTTCTCTCACTAAGACTGTGAATGGCGTGGCACTCTCGATTGGCTGACTTTCCAAAACCGAGTCTTGTATTCATCACCGCTCCTGCTGCATTCTATTGATCAAAATATGTTACAGGGACTGCCCAGATTTAAGGTTAGGTGAGATGAAGTCTACCTCTCTAGGTGAGGAGTAGCAATAAATAGCAGCCACTTTTAACCTATCACTGATACTATGTACAGAGCAAAGGTGATGGACTGATCTCAGCATTAAGAATTAAATAAGACTCACAAAGACTTTCAAAGAACCAAGGAACCAGCTCCTTAGCTCCTGGTAATTAAATGTAAACCTCTATGACAGTCTTACCTGCTGTTCTAGTGGCTGTGAGGATTGGGTTGTAAAGAAGCTATTGGGTATCATCATGATGCATGTCATGTAGGCACCACTGTCAGTGATTGCTTCCTAAGTGCTTGGCATGTCACATGCAAGCTTCATATTGTGCAGGTGAAGTAGAAAATCATACATCTATATATGATACATATACATGTATATGCATACATATATCTATATACATACATATGTGTATATGTATTATATGTGAATCATATTTATATATCATATATGTATTATGTGAATCATATATCATATACTCATATAATAGTATATATGTGTGATATATATCATATATATATCTCTCTCATATGTGTGTGTGTGTATGTGTGTGTATTAGGTCTGTCTGGAAAAAGTCCAACCATTGTTAATATAATGAGAATGGTTTGTGTGACATCAATATAACTTGGCAGCCAAGGACAGTGGACTGGAATGTTCATGCATGAACAATGATGTCTTCGTTGTATTAGTTAATGGGGGCGGTAGACATCATTGAGTGAGCATGTAGAGTGTGTAGCTATAGCATTCAAAATGACTTAGCAGGTAGAGCAACGAATTTGCATCGAATTTTGCATTAAGCTTGAACATATTCTGTGTAAACTATTTGGCTGATTCAGAAGACTGCAGCTGTGGGCAATGGGTGATTGGCAGCTTCATCATGATAATGGGCCCACTCATGCATCACATCTTATGCAGAAACATCAAATCACCCAGGTGACTCAGCCCCGCTACAGCTCAGATTTGGTGCCCTGTGACTTCTGGCTTTTCTCAAAACTGAAATCACCTTTGAAAAGGAAGAGATTTCAGACCACTGATGAAATTCAGGAAAATACATTGATGGCAGCTGACAATTGGGAGAACTGTGTGAGGTCCCAAAGTGCCTACTTTGAAGGGGACTGAGGCATCATTGCCCTACATACCATATTTCTTGTATCTTGTATCTTCTTCAATAATAAATGTCTCTATTTTTCATATGACATGCCTGGATACCTTCTGGACAGACACGTGCGCACAGACACATACACACGCAAATACATATATGCATATGCACATAGAGACATCTGCTATTATTATTTTGCTTTGATACGTATGTGCACATATATATATGTTGGATGTATAATTAGGAGTAAGATGAGATGGGTAGGCTACTAGTTACTTATGTTCAATTCTAGTAGATAACTACACTTTGCAAAAAGACTATAAATCATCCTCTAACAGTGATTTCTAAGACTGCAGTATCTTCTCAGGAGTAGTATTTTTAGGCTATACCAATGTGTATGTGTTTATAATTGAGCCTATTCATAGTAAACATTTATATATCTTTATAAATAATATTTTCCTTCAAAATAGCAAAATAATTTGTGGAATATATTGTGTTATAAATACATATTTCTGATTCAGAAGGCTGTATAACACACCAAGAACAGGAGGAGTATGGTGGAAAAGAAATACAGAGAAAAACAAAGGAGGACAAGGCATTGATATTGTCCTTCAGGTTTGGGCATTGCTCCCATAACTTGGGAAAGGATTTTTCCTGAGAAGCTCATCCAATCATTGACTTAATTCTACTGTTGAGATTTGGACTAGCACCTCATATAGTATGGGAGAAACTGTTCTAACAACCAGAATCTAGGATGTCTTGGGACCCTGAACTTTTCTGAGAGTGCTTGGGGGAACTTGGACCAGGGATTGCAGAACCTTTTATATCTTCTGATGTGAAATTTTTTCTTATATTATGCTGTATCTATTAATTCCATTTTATCAACACAATGCTAGTTTTGAGGGTCTTGGAGCTATAATAATGACAAATAGGCAAAATGCAAATCAATTGCTCT